CGGCAGAATCCTAAGATGTTTTTCTTTTCCATCAGAGAGGAAAGAAATAATCGTGATTTTTCCATTCTCAATTGGGATTTTTTTTTAAAAAAGTATGTAATAACTGGCTTCAGCTAGAATTTCAAATTAATAATATAAAATAAAAAAAAATCAGAAATCGCGAAAGTTTAAAAGATAGTTCGCTCTAGAAATGTTCTTTCTTTCATTTTTTTCCTCTTTAAAGAACACCGTGTTTTATACACACTTATTTCAGGATCTCTTTTTTAAAGAGTATGTGAGGATCAAAATAGGAGTAAAGAGTCTTTTTTAAAGAGTGATTTCGTCGTCGTTTCGGAGTTACCGCACGAATTTTACGACTTTTAACGTATGATAGAATTTTAATTTATCATCGCTTAATTTATTTACGAATTTTAGTTTGTGTAATGATTTACAAAATTCAAAAGAGGAAATAATGAGTATTTTTTCACCTACAAAATGTGAGAAAGCATCTATAATATTAAAATTAAAAAAATATATAACTTTCACAACTAAAATTTTTTATTCATTTTTATTCTATAATTTCTTCTATAAACGCAACGTTTCTGATACTTTAAATTAGTAATGGTTATACAGTTAAAACCCGCTATAGTGAACAAGGTTTATAGTGAACTCCCGGATACAGTGAGTGAAATATTCGCTCCTGAGCCGTGCTTTACACCTATAATATTACTTTTTGTGAATACAGTAAACCTAAAGAAGAGAGGAAATTGGATAGTAAGAACTTTTTTCTCTCTTCCACTGATTTTATTTCCTTCATTTTTTGGTCATTTTGAAATTTCTGCATAAAACATGTATACCGATTATTAAAACTATCTATATAAAACTGTATAGCCATAAGCATTTTTTTCTTGTTTGCTTCTTTTATCTCAGTTTCCCATCCCTCCATTTTTTGTACGCAAGACGAAGAGTTATAAAAAACAAAAACAAATTTTTTGTGACATAAGAAACACATTTTTTGTGACTAAATATTGTTTTTTAATCATTTTAGTAATTCTTTTTGTGGGACATTTATTTAAATAACGTGTCATAAAAGGGAGCAGTTCGGGAAAATGAGCTACAATTGCTTGCAGTACGGATAGAGTGAGCTCCCGGTTATAGTGAACAGAAATGTCGGTCCCTTGAAGGTTCGCTATAACGGGGTTTGACTGTAATTGAAAGTATCTTTGGGAGACATATAAATGCTATGGAAGTTAGAAGCCGCAGAAAGCCCGAAAAAATTCTGCCACATATCATGATTCAACCAAGAAATAGATTTAAAAAAAAAAACCTCTTTTTAATCACCCCATTCACTTTTGTGTGTGTGTTTTTTCTCTCCTTAGACAATGAAAGACTTCTACAGAACTAGACTCTCCCATTTGTTGAGGGTGGAGCAAAAGAGCAACGAACTCTTAAATAACATTTCAAAAATATCTAATGGAATGTTTCTCACCATGTCGGACATCTTCTATAAAATATTTGGATATCGATTTCGTTAGGGGCCATTTTAATACAGTCAAACCCCGCTATAGTGAACACGTAGAATGTTATTTTTTATGAATAGAGTGAACCAAAGTTGGATACAACGAACTTTTTTGTGTCTTCAACAGAAATTTTCTTCCTTTTTTTTGTAATAATTTTGAAATTTCTACTTCAAAATAAATACATATACTGATTTTTAAAACCATCCATAGCATGGAATGCAGCAATAAGCATTTTTTCGTGCTTGCTTCATTATGGAATGGGTTCAGCATTCAAAGAAGCCGCAATTTTCCAGTACCGGGACAAATACTTCAAGTCAAAACCGATGAATTTGCTAAGTGACTACTTTTATGTGCTCGAATGGCTGGTTAGTCAGGTTTAAAAAGCGGAATCACATACATTCAGGAAAAATTATCGGAGAGTTGAGAAGTGTTTCCATATCTGATGTTGAGGATTGCTCATCAGCTAAAGATTGCATGCCAGACGAAGAGAAATAAAAAATAACAGTTTTTGTTACTTTTCTCCACCATTTTTGTATTTAATTTATTTAAATACTGTGTAATAAAAGAGAGGAGTTTGAAACTATTAGTTAATAGTTGTTTGTGGAGCGGTTATAGGGAACCGAAATTTCGGTCCCTTTATCGGGGTTTGACTGCATTACGTAAGCATGTTTTTGGCAATTGGCACCAAAAAATTGAACAAACCTCCCTCATGTTTACGTAAGAAAGTACAATACCCCTTCCTTTTCACTTTTATTGTAGAAATCTTATCTTAGGACTTAATTCAAGTAACTGACGCCACTTAACTACAAAACAAAATGAACGTTTCCATTCAATTTATAAAACTTAGAGAGGAATATTTTTCAGAAATATCTTCTTTTGCCTTCTGCGATTATAACTCTTGGATTTTAGAAACTCGGAAATTTTTTCTAATTCTTTCCAAGAATTTAATCCCAAATTTTTTAATAATAGTTTTTTTTGTCAATTTTTTCCCATTTAAAAAAAAAAATATGTAAGAGGATTTTAATGTCTCACATGTTCATGACCCTTTTCTTTTCAGCAAAAATAAGCGTATCACAAATTCTTTACCACTAAGTTAGGTGCTTATATTATATTTGTACAGCCCCCCGTCGAAAAAGATGGGTTTTGTGATTGGTTTATTTTTGCTTCCAATGGGAAAAAGGAGTTAGTTCAAAATAGCCAATGAACGGTCTTTTAAATCGAAAGAGAAAAAAGCTTTACGATCGATTTCTGAGAATAAGAAAGGCCGGATTTTTTTTCTCCACATTTTTAGAACAATAAACAAAAACTTGATCTTTACAAAATTTATTTTAATGAAAAGTGCAGAAATGACGTAACATAAAATCCACCGTTTCCAAGAAGTTCCAGTTAGTTTCAGAATGAATTTGAAATATGGATGAAAAATACTAATGCAATTTTTACAAATTCCTTTTCATACAATACTCAGTATTTGTATTCTTATCTTTCAGTATTTGTAGAAAAAAAATTTTTTTTCTTCCTTTAAATTTTACTTTTTTCTTCGTTTGGTAAATAAATTAAATATTGAATAATTGACTGAATTGTAGATTAAATATAAATTAAGTTACAAAAAAAAAATCATTATTATCACAAAAATGAAATAATAATATTATTAAGATAAACTGAAAAGCATCTTAAATATTAAACAAAATTAACAAAAAAGTTGGGATCGCCGGTTGTCCATGGGTCAAATGTTTTTCATTTCTGGATGGACTCTGTTAAACGCCACACCATTTCAAATCATGGATTGCAATAACTGTCATCAATTGATGTTTGTCGTAGGATGGGTTTTCAAATCCTGCCTATGTACGTGTTTTAAGATGTCACAAAATACTTTTCCTTCATTCATATTTATATTGGAATCACCGTCAAGCCAATCATTATACATTAATAATAAAAAGAATATAAAAATACTTTAAATTATTATAATGTAAATACATTAAAAATGCTTTCTAGTAAAAAGAAAAAGAAAAACAGCAGCGGTCGCCATAGCAACTGTTTACTATTACTCTCGAACACAGTTGAAAAGTGTGTGCACGCCATCCAGCCCAAACCAAGACCCATTTTGCCAAAATTTTTAATTCTTAACTAAAAATTCGAATTCTTGGAACCCCTGGAAATTTACTGCGGAACCCTAGCCTGCCGCGGATCACCTTTTGGGAACCCTTCTTCTAATGATCAGAATAGACCGCTTTGAGTAACGGGATCGAGGAAATTATTAAAAGTAGAGAAACTCGAAAAATAATTTAAACTAGTCACTTTTGGCTCTAAATATAACAGAATTAAAAAAAAAAAAGGCATTCGAATAAATCATTAAAAAAAAAAGTTTCATTGTCTAAAAGCATTAATGGTTACTAAGACCAATGATTTTTTTAAAACCTACAAGAATTAGAATGGACTTATCTAATCAACGGGTTCAATTAAAAGAAGAGAGTTGATCCAAATAGAGTGAATCTTAAAAAAAAACAGTAAAAAATGGCTACCGTTTCGAGATGTGAGGACAAAAGAAAGAGCAGGATTGAAGATGATAGCCCCTGAGGGAGTTGTCAGAGATGTTATTCACATCCTGACCTTGTGTTATGACCTACTAATGGAAGGCAAATTTCTGTTAATTTTTAAAGAATCATTTCTTTTAACGCACACACTAGATTGAAAAGTAAAATTGAGGTTAACTCTTAATTGTCTTTACATTTAAAGAACAAAGACGTCCATTCATTTGAATCCGTTACTTTATGATATGTAACTCGTTCAATGACAAGAAAGTTTGATGTCTCGCCTCATTCAGACGAGCTGAATAGTATCAACACATAATACTGTGATAATTAGGGCTTCTTTGGGGCCCCATATGCTACAGTAATGAAGAACTGAATTTTATGGAGGTTTTTTCGACTCATTATAGATAGATATATTACAAGAAATTTGACTTGGAACCGAAAATAGAGTCCCAATGGTCAGAAAAGTATCGTTGTACCCATTTTATTGATTTTCTGACCATTATATGTCCACCATGCCGAATGCAGTTTTCTGATGATTGTTAACGTTGTCATCTAGCGGCGGAAAAATCATATCCTCGTTGACATGAGGGCGGAATGAAGCTTCGCAATGACGATGGCTCAAATGAAGCCAACCAGAAGCTCATATTTTTGTGAACAAATCGCATCTTGCGATATGTAAAAAATACAGGCTTTTCATTGACCCAATGTGTCCATTGCGAAAATTAAGCTGAATTTCACCTTTAGAAAGTCATTGATTTACGAAATATATAGATTTTTCGTGTTCACAGAATAGATTAACGAAGAAGCAAACATAAAACTGACTGATATTTTGTTTAAAGAAAGTTCAATAAAGAAGGAAACGTAAAATTAACCTTCTATTCTATTTGGAGGGCAACTGCCCCTCAGCCAGGCTTTGGGTGCATCTATTTATTCATTAGAAAATCATTCTATGAAAAATGATGACACTTACTTGACTAGATTCTTCTTGGAAAGTCTTGAGTTGCAGACACTCTTCCAATTTATTGAGTCTTATGTCAGCCAATCGAGACAGCTTCGTCATCGCTTTCCTCACTTCTCCATACAGCACTACACTCTTCTCCAGATTCTCCCTTTTTTTTTGGAATGGAAAACAACTATTTTTAGACTGTAATCCATCTAAGCACTNCAGGGTTGCCACAGAAAAAAATGAACAAAATAGTTGCTTTTAGTAGCCTAAAGCATGAAAATAGTAGCCAAAAACTAGGAAAATAGTTGCCTAATAAGAACAAAAATTCATCAAAAATATGACTAAAATTTTGTTAATGACTTAATTGTCATATACCATCATCCATTCAGTCAAGTTGGTGGCAAATATGATAATTTTCATATAAATGTTTATATATATATATATTTGAAAAGTGATTACTTAAATTCGAAATTCATGCATTGTAATACCGTTAAAAAATTGTTTTTTAATTTAAAAATAAAAAAAAATCATGCAGAATTTTGTAGCAATAATCATTGAAAAGGTGATCGAGAAATGAAATAGACTTACAATGGAATTTGTGCAGATTGAACGAATTAAAAAGTAAAGACTCAAATTTGCAATTCAAAATTTTTAAAATTTTTTATTATTTAAGAAAAAAAAGTTCAGTATGCTTCAGTTCCAAAGTTCAGTTCCAATTTATGCTTCAAAAAAAACATCTCTAGGAGTACAGAAATGTCTCCCAATAGTCTCCTTTTCTTGAAAATAGTTGCTTTTTTAGTCTTTTCAGGCAAAAAAAGTTGCCATAGTCCCCTCATGCCTAAAATAGTTGCAAATAGTTGCATTTTAGTCGCCTGTGGCAACCCTGTAAACATCCCATGCCATAGATGGTTTTAAAAATCGGTATATGTATTTATTTTGAAGCAGAAATTTCTAAATTATTGCAAAAAAAAAAAAAAAAAAAAAAAAAAAAAAAAAAAAAATGAAGAAAATAAATCAGTCGAAGACAGATAAAAGTTCGTAATATCCAACTTCCTCTCGATTTTTTGGTTCACTATATCCACAATAAAAAACATTTTAAATGTGTGCAGCAGACATGGAAGCGAACATTTCGTTCACTATATTCGGGAGTTCACTATAGCGAGGGGTTTAACTATATATGTATATATAAAACAATTTATGCAGAATTTTAAATATATTCAATATTAAGTACTTTATTTGATTACGTAAAAAAGAATGATTTTAATTTAAAATGATGTATAGTTAAACTATAATTTAAAAAAGATTGTCGGGTCTATTTTTTAGATTTAAATAAAAGTTGTCATAAAAGTGTATTGAACAAAGCTTTAACAAGATCAATATTATTGATCGCACTGAATTTATAAAGATATGAAAGGAATTAAGCAAAGAAAACTTAATAAATTCATATTACTAATGTAAATTAGTGAGTGGTCCCCATTAATTTTTTTTTTTTAAAATTTGTTAGTTCAGTATTTATTATAGGGTCCCTACATGTATAATATTTAACAAATTTGAGGTTACTGAATTTTTTATTTAAATTATTTTTAAATCCAATCATCAAGAGAAGAATTTTGGAATATCTGAATTAATATAAGACTGCATTTGCTAGATATCAAGATAGCCCCTCAAGATAGATAATCAAGATAGATTGAATTATGCAAGATATGAAAACTCGCTTTCTGGACAATCTTTCAATTTGAAGATCCAAACATGAATACATTCTCTATCTTTGTACGGTATATTTACTTACTTTTACCTTTACTCATAAGTTAGATATTTATTTTAATTAATACATTGTTTTTTTAAATTTAATTTATGAATAAAAGTTACAATGTATAATTTTTCCTGAAAAATAGTTAATGTATATAAAAAAGGCTTTGAAGAGTATTAATTTTATTTTTAAGCTCATTTCTGAAGGGTTTTTTTTAATTTTTATTATTATATTTTAATTAATTAGTTAACCACTTTCCTTACCAAGTCTTTTGAAGGAAAAAAATGCCAAATAGCAACATATATTTTTTATTTCATTAATAAATACAAGGAACTACAACAAAACATAATACACATGTTCTAAGCAAAAATTTTAATTTTTTTCATATGTAAAAAATATTTAATTTACCATCAGTTTACTATCTCAAAATTATCTCCAGGGGTCTGTCCAGACATTTTGTGAAAGGTCCGTTTTTCGTGAAATTGTGAAAAAATTACTCACATTCTTTCAACCAGGGTCCGCTTTTATGAATGTGTGCAAATAGGGTCCGTTATTGCAAAAAAAAAAAACTTTTTCAAGGAGTTTTTAAATTGTAAAGACATACAAGATTATGCTCAACACTGTAAAATTATAATTAAAAAAATTACATTTTAAAAAATAAACAACAATTGCTGCTTCTAAATTAGAGATGCAACATACAAATATTTAGTATTTAGGAAATCTCCCCATAC